AACTAGCCAAGGTCGGAGGCAGAATTCCCTATTCTAATTCGGAGCGTTGCTCACCACCCGGAGCAAGAGTCAGGGATTAATTTAGAGATCCATTCACCACGCCTGTGCAGAGAGGAAAGGCGGCAAAACGTGATGAGGAGCAGAGCAGAGGAGGAAGAGTCTGAGGAGATGGGGAGGCAAAGGGGAAGAGGGCGACAGAGAGGAGGGAAACAGGGGAAGGTGCGGGGGGGCAACAAGAGCAAAAGACAGTGGGCAAGAAAAGTGGGAGAAAGAAATAGGGATGAAGAGAAAGACAGAAGTGGTTCTGCTTGTTATGTGCAGCCTGCGGAGAGAAAGAGAGCAGACTGTTCACCAAGCATTTCCAAATACTCCTCCTCTTATGTCCTAATGCTTGCATGTGTGTGTGTGTGTGTGTGTGTGTGTCCATACACCTGTGAGAGAAATCAGACAGACAATGGGCAGGCAGACACAAGCTCCGGTAACGAAGATTGGATGAGACAAAGAAAGGAGTGCAAACAGCAAGAGAGTTGATAGCTGAGCAGAAACTGAGTAAAATAAAGAAAGTCTACGAAAACACAGCAGAGAGAAGAAACATATATATGTTCCCTGAAAGAATAAGGCTTGTGCAAGGCTACTGTATACTTTTCTTATTGTCAATAAGTCCCACGAAAAGAAAACCAACATTGCATTAGTCCATCTCTCAAAACCTGCCTCAGCTGCCAGTGACTCTGAGCCTTAAGCTCATTCTTTTCGACTGAAGACATAAATCATTCAAATTGGGTCATAAATACAGTTAAATTTTTAAACAGCCTACTTAATTTTCTCAGACACTGTAGCTTTTAGGAGCCTTTAGGAAACTTTACTCTCACAGAAATGAATTGTGCAGTTTTGGGGGGACTGTTTTCAGCTACAGATGAACACACAAATGTGGGTTTTACTGGAAATAAACTTCAGTGGCTGAGTTTATGTCAAGAAAGGAACCTGTCTGCTAGGGCAACACAGTGTAGAGTGTTGAGCTTGGCTTAAAGGTGCAGATTTCCATTGAATTTACGTGTGCTGTAGTCTCCAGGTCAACCATTTGATTAGTTGGTCAATATGGTCTCATCTAACAAAAATTGTCATTGGTCAGACTATCACCAGTGTTCATAACGAGAAAAGCACAATATCAGCAACCTTCCTTGATTCATCTGTTACTTTTGGCAGCTGGAGGGTCACACTTCCTGGCATGTTCACAACCTTGAATTCCACCAACCTAATGCAGACTGCTACATCTAACTTATTTAACATTACTGTGCATTTACTCAGAGTTGACTCCTACCTAACTGACACAAAATCAAATAAATTATCCCTGTGGCTGTATTTTGCTCAACAGATGGCCAACAAATCATGTGTAAACTTTGCAAACAGTAGTTTGCATATCACTGCTCAACAACCAACACGGCAGATCATCCAAAAACGCCAGACAAACTTGTTTGCATTATATATCTCATTAGTTCTTCTGCTAGGATCATCAGTTGATATCATTTTATTTTCAGAAATAAAATGAATACAGGCAGGTTCATGCTCTGTTTATGATCATTTTTCAAGTTAAATGATTTAATGTGCTGCAAATATTAGCTTTTGATGTTGATGTATAATTTATTTAGCCCAATAATTCTTAGAGGTAGAATTGCACTCAATGCACTGTGGTTGATTTTGTTGAAGAGCAGGTTCGACTTCAATCGACCAATTTTTAAGCTGGTTGACTGCAGCCCTGTTTAATCAATCACTGGTATCCACATAATGAATCCAATTGACTTTAGTGATTCCTGGACTTTTCATCTATTTGATAGTTTTGGTTCAGAGTGAAAATGTTCAAATACTTAATGGATTGCCATTACATTTGGCACAGACATCGTTATCATCCTCAAAATAAATTGCTTTATCTCTGATCATGTGGTTGCAAAATAGCCTCTTTAGTCCTGTCAGTAGTTTCTGGACAAATGAAAACCGCTATTAGGATCTGTTCGCTTTAATTGAATTTGCTGCCAGTAATACAAATATCACTGGGCTTGTCCTGTATCATACAGTTTTCCAGTTTGATTTTCCTGGAGCAACGCTGGAAAAATCCTCTTATTCCACACTGACAGTATCACATATAAATTCTCTATCATGTTGTTTCAACTCGTCATTGAAGCTATACTGTATGATGCTTACACTGAAATATTAAAACTCAAGGCTCCATGTTTTTACAGCTGAACCTTTGTGGCAAAAGGATCTCCTACATCCCTGTGACATTTGATAACTATGGATTTAAGGATACGTGATTGAAAATAAAGTTTTGTGGGTTTTTAACATGTTTGGCTGCTCAGAATGAAGCTGTTTTAATTAAACCACAAGTAGGTCAATGGGATTTAAGTGGAAAATGAGAGTGAGACCACAGAGAGAGGTTTTGTGGTTTCTGGTGCCCACTGTAACACATCTCAGTCAGTCAGGCTTCAGTGCATATAGACTGTAAAACACCTGCTGGATTGTTTTATACTGCAATGATTGTGCTTTTCTCTACAGCACATCCCTTTACTCATCACTGACAAACCCTTTCTCCTCCCCGCACATTACATGAAGCCACCTATTCATTGTGTACCTTCCCACTCGCGCAGCCTAACATTAAACAGGAATAGATGCAGCATGAGGTGATATGTGCAGGTGGGAGACTGTAGATGGACAATTAATTTTTCAATTATTGTAGGTTGCATTAACCAATCTATTCATTCATGTGGGTCTATAATGCATGGGGCTGGGAGACAAACAAACTTGGAAATTGCATTGCACAGTTTTGATTTATGATTATAGGCGACTGCATTTGGCTGCTGTTAAATCTTATAATAATTCTACCCTGCAGGGATATTAAATGTCTAAATTTATTTCGCTTATGTGTAACACAACATAAATCAATTGCCAGATGATCTTCAAAACCAGACCTCAGACTTTGAAGCGCTCTCTTCAGAAGTATCTCTTGTTAGACGCACTAATATAATCTTGTGCAGAGAAGTACTGTATTGTTGTATAATATGGTATTGATTTAGCTCGCCCTGCCTAGTTAACAGCCCCAGTGGTCGATTTGTTAAAGCTTAATGAGATAAGGAGGTAAAACATTACGACACAATCACTCGAAAATTTCCCTAAAACAAGATAGATGGACCGAAAGATTGCATTAACGAGTGGATGTGATTTGATATGATACCCTTGAGGCAACATTAGCTTTCAGCCATAACCATACCGTCCTGAACGCTGAACACCTTCACGTTTTGCAAACAGGCCTTCATATTGCTATTCTTTTTCATCATTCGAGCACAACCACCACACACTGTTCACTAATGTTCAGCCACCCTTCTCTAATTTTTCAGTTTTGTGCTTTATCAGAGTGCAAATACATCAAATGGGCTTATTCAGAAATGAAATTAAACTTATTGAGAGTATCAGCAGAACCACTGCTGACATGAAAGACGCTGCTGGGGAGATGAGCATGAGAAGCTTGTTCCCCCCACAGGCGCACACCGAACTGCAATGTAGGCTTTTAGATTACAGCGGCAGAAACCAGTTTCACCCAGCAGATGTCAGAAAGCAAATAATCAAACTTCTGTCATGCAAGTGCACACAGACTGCCACAACAAAGCTCCACCGCTGAGAGCAAGAAAAGAAAAAAAAAGAGCAAGAGTGAGCAAATCAGCAAGTAAGGACAGCTCACGGACCTGGGAGGTGAAGCAATAGCAGCGATTTGTCAATAATCTTTTGTTTTATGATGCGATAGATCATTTTAGGTAAACTGTGCTGACTTCAGCAAGCAATGGCACTGAGACATGAGTCAAACTGAAGGAATAAAAGTTTGTAACCAGCACTGAGCTGCACAGATGAGAGTGAAATCTACCACCGTGAAAGAAGAGCATTGAGGAAGCATAAATTCAACTTATAGAGGTGTTTTTGATTTTTATAGAATTCGATTTGGTTAATTCTTTTTTGTTCATTTATTCTTTGTGCTTATTCTTTTATTATTTAAACGTATAACCGCCAAATTTCAGTTGTGAAATATGCCAAAGAAATGCCCCAACAAAGATGGTTAATGGCCAACACTGGCAACGATTAATATCGTCTAAAAGAGCCAGAACAGAAGACTCTTAAATGTTTTCTTTCATTTCTTTTCAAGACACTGTGGGCAACTTTGTATTGATTTTCATCATGAAAACAGAACACACATGAACCTGTAGCATGCCGAGGCATTCTGAATGGTCAGTGACTGCCCACACAGCCTTGTTAACACTAACTTGCCAGTCCAAACATCACAGAATCTCTCCTCCAGGTCAACAGGGAGTGTGAAAGATTAGATCTCAACTCCCAGAGAACAGACAGGGATGGTGAAAGATTAGCTGTCATCCTTCAAAAGATCAGAGAGGACAAGAGTACCAACTGTTCCCCTCTGTTCTGAGCACAAAGGACCCATTTTAAACACCGTCTGCAACTGTTCCCAGACTAATTTTATAGTTGCAATAAGCTACAATATTTTTGCGAGGGGTAGTATCACCTCCTTGCAGATGGGGAGGTTAATGTGAATAGGTCTGGGCCATAATTCTCAGCCAAACGAACCACATGACATTACCTCAAATGCCACACGGTAAGAATGTTTGCATATTGGATTCTTAAGGCATGCTTTACAGTGTCCAAAATCAGCATTGTGAAAATGGCAATTAGTTCAGCAACTGTTCCAGAAAAGCCACAGAAAGTCACCCAAAGATCACTCAGTTGCTGCATCATGCATCACAGAATTATAAAGTTGCAGTCGGATTCTTTAAATAACCTGAGTTTCTATTTAAACCAGTCTCTGTCAAACAGTAAGGGATCAGCCAAAGATTGACAAACAAACACGGAGAGAGCGCAACAGAGTGAGCAGAGAGAAAGATTGAGAGCAAACACTTGCATGCACTTTTTTCAGCCTCATTCTCGGTCACAGTCATCGAATCACTTACATGCATTGGTGACTGCGAAGCTGTTGGCGGTCTCTATGTTGTCGACATGCGGCACCAGGTTAAAGGGAGCTTCCGTAGCATTAGGGCTGGTGTTGTGAAGGAAGATAGCTAGTCGAAACGCTGTATACTCCTGATCAGTATTCCTAATGAACAATCCACCTGGAGAAGAAGGGACAAAGAGGCGAGGCCAGGGGGAAGGAGGAGGGCACGATGGAGAGGAGAGGAAGTGAGTTATCGTGGGGCGGAGAAGGGTCGGGTAAGAACGTGGCAAGAGAGGCAGGAAGAAGGTGAGTAATGTGGGGAAAGAAAGATAGATGGGGAGGGCAGGGGGAAAACAGAGAGAAGAAAGCCAAGATCTTCATTAGCTTTGTTATAAAAGGTAATTTGTCTTTCAGCTCAGCCTCACTCCCTGTCTCGTGCACAAACATGAATACAAACACACTTGTGGAGGCTCACACTTGCACATTTCATCAATGGCATCTGAGGAGGAGAGAGGGAGAGCGGAGAGGAGAAGAAAAGAGGAAACAACTAAGCTGACAGGAGAGCCGTCAAAGACATAATGAGTCCAAGAAGACATAAAAGAGAACAAAGCAGGAAGGCCAAAACAAAAAAAGCGTCAGCTAAATAAGGGAGGAGCCCGGGTCAGGCACTAAAAAAAGGCAGAGGGAGGAAAGTGCTAAGGTTCATTGGCTTTTAAAAGTGAGAGCATCCCTCTGTACAGGTAAACAAGCATGAGAGGAGAGAGAAGAGGTAATAGGAAACAAAATATAATAGCAAATTAACAGGAGAACCGTGTGAAAATATATGGGGAAAAGATGGCGAAGATCTGAAAATTTGGAAAAACAACAACAACAAAAAAAAAACGCTCATTAGGGGTCACGTGATCCTCTCAGAGCATTCTCAAATGACATGTCAAGCCCAGAGAGGGACCTTCTCCATTACCTGAGCCTGAGGAAAGATACTGATAACTGTAATATAACACTAATGATGTAACTGCTAAAATCTACTCAACATAGATCAAATGTGAAGTAGATGGGCTATGTATTTGCCTTTGGGGAAATTAAAAGGGAGAAAACCTCAATATAAAAGACAAAGTCAGAGTGTACCGATGACCTTCCCACTGAAGAAGAGTGGTGTAGTTGGACATGACCAGTCAGAGAAGATGAAATAACCATAATAGAATCATAATCAATATATGAGACAGCATTCATGGAAAATTCAAACAGCTTCTGGGAATACTTAAAAATCCCTTCTGGACATGATTTAAAACATATCAAAATCATATGATCTTAATATTTTATGTCTGATATGATTTTTCTACAAAAAACCTGATTAAGATTTCTCATGATTATTGAAAAACCCTGATTATTTGTAAAAAAAAAAAAAAAAAAGTTCATTTTAAAAGTTGAATTTAAGACTCCCACTTCATGGTTAAGATCATCTCTTTTCACTTGAAGTTTCCACATTCCACTTGTATAAGACACATGCTGGACTTCACTAGCTTCCAACATACTGCAGTTATGATGGCAGTACATACAGCGGCTAAACTGAAGTTTAAGGTGAGCACAGAGAACATTTTCCCTTCCAGCAGATGAATGTGGAAACAGCCCTCTAGTGTCACACTCTGCACAAGCTTTTTAACTGCACAGGGAAGCTCAAACATCTATAGCATGCAACAATAAACAAAACACGCTTTAAGGTGCAGAAGGGACTTCAAGACTGAAATGGAAACTTTTGCAAACTGTGATGTTACTGTCACGTGTAAGAGTTTGTTTCAGCACGGCTAGGGTCCTTCTCTGTGTCTAATGCTTTCATTAACTGAACAGATTTGTTATTTGTTGTGTTGTGGATCTCAGTGTTATCTGTTTGCAATGCAAATCACATACATTACTTCTGCACTGCTTCACGAGTTGAAATAAATCGACGTGACTTCGCTTGAACTGAATTAAACTCAGTTCAACTGAATTGGATTACACAGAATGAGACAAGCCTTACTGCTGTGTGTGTGTGTGAGAGAGAGAGAGAGAGAGAGAGAGAGAGAGAGGAAGGAAGAAAAGATGACAGGGGAGGAGTCGGGAGGCAGAGCATATTGAATGAAGCAATTGTCACTACATAAGATGTCACTTATCTGTGTGTCTGCATGCGTGTCATTCATGCTAAAAGTTCCTTCTGTTTTCTCTGTGTCTCTTACATACATTAACATGATGCGTAGTGGATCAGTCACTTAAGTCAGGCATTAAGACGCACATATACACAGAGACCTTACAGCTGGAGTATATGTGGAGAGTCTGCACAGCTCACAATCAAGGATTTTTGCATAAACAGAAAAAATCCACCCCAAAAAATGAAGTGTCTTGAATGAATGTCTTATTCATGACTAAAAAAGGTAATTTATCATCCAAGGATATAAATGTGGCTTCAGTTTTAGAGTGGAATTCCACACACATTCAGACACTTCACCGAAACGAGGAGGAGTCTCGATATCTCCCAACATGGCACGTTATTGCAGCAGTTTCTCCAAGAAATTTCACAAATGTTCTCATCTTTCTCTCTCCTGCACACTCACACACATGTGTGCAAAGAAACTGCCTGTGCTTCCACTGACATTACACTTGTGTGCAATGCAGAGATATGCAAATGACTCCTCAAGTGAACTGGAGAGCCAAGTGAATGATCATGTATGTATGTTGGAGTGTTTAAGGCGGACGTTCACTGGGAGGGAAGGAAGGAGAGTTGTGTGTGTGTGTGTGTGTTTGTGCACGGTCACATATGTCCTATGCAGTATGCATGTGCATGCAAGCATGTTCACCCTGTGTAGACGTGTGCACTGGAATGCTGTGCAAGTGCACAGCAACCACCACCATGTGTGCATTTCTATGACTGTGTGTGCACAGTGTACACATGCATGCTGGAAGATCAGTGCAAACATGTGTGTGTACGAAGCAGAAAATATTTAGCGCATTAAGTTTATTGGCAGCTGTAGGGAGACAGAGTCAAGGAGCCGAATCTCATTATAGGACCTCCCAGCTGCCCCCCACAAGGAGTGATGCAGTGCATTCATTATCACACACAAGCCTGCATGGATGTGTGTGTGTGTGTGTTTGTTTGTGTGTGTGTGTGGGAGAGAGAGAGCGAGAGAGAGAGCGAAAAAAGAGTCCATGCATGTGTGGTCCACATGCACTGAGCAAACCAATAACTTTATCTCTGATCTATTAGGAGGGTTGAACGGCAGGCTTATCCCGCACTAACACAGGGTAACAGGAAAAGGGCAGATAGAGGGAGAGAGAGGGAGAGAAATAGAGGGAGTATGAGTGTGTGTGTGTGTGTGTATGAGAGAGAGAGAGAGAGAGAGAGAGAGAGAGAGAGAGAGAGAGAGAATACTGCAGTGTCTAAACATTGAAGAAGACTAGAAGGGAACAAAGCTCCCTGAAACATTCATGAGCCCAGAACAGCTTTTAAAATACACGCAAATACAGTGAAAGCATAGCTGGAGTGAAAGAGTTTCTGTGCATTTATAAACCATATGAGTCACAACAGAGAAGGAGAATATCTTGGATAGAAAAAGCAGGAAGGATGCACTGAAGAGAAAATGTTTCTACACTTGTGTCTCCTCCTGAGTGAATTTCTTGTATTTTACTGAGTCTTTTGGAGGGTTATGGTACACCTTTTTTTTTCCCTCCACGGTGTCTGCTGTTCGCTAAAAAAAAAAAAAAAAATTCAGTGTAGTGTGTCAGATCTGAGTGTCCGTGCGTAAAATCAGTAATCCTCCAACTCACCTATCTGCACTGAGCTGGGGAAAGCCCCTGTCGCCAGCCCCCAAAGGGCGGAATACACCCCGAGAAAGTGCAAAGAAAAAATATTAATCCTCATTTTTTCCTTTCCTTCAATCCTTTCAGAAACTGTTGAGAGACATCGAGAGAGAGAGGGGAGATGCGAAAGAGAGAAAAGGCGTCAGGGAAAGGGGGGGAAAAAAGAAGAAAGATGAGAAAGAGAGGTTTGTTTCCCCCGTTTTTGCCACAGTAGTATTCCTATTCCATGGTGGGTTCGTTGCGTTTCTTTCCCCCTGCAGTGTCCGCTTCAGGAGAGAGCTGTGGGTCCGGTGCACATGTACAGACGGGGAGAGCGAAAGAGTGGGGAAACTCGCTAGAATGATTGGCGATCTGGGAGAGCAGTCTGCATGGAGGAACTGGACATGCGCGCCCCGTCTCTCCTCTCTCTCTCTCTCTCTCTCTCTCTCGCTTTCTCTCCCACACACCCTCCCCTTCTATCTCTCTTTCACGGTCTGTCTCTCTTTGAACTCCTCTCCCCCTTTACATCCCTCACTTTTCCCCCACCATCTAATGCACTTTATCTTGGTGTAACACTGTCTATGCTATGGATACGGTTTGGTCGCGGTGTAGAGAAAAGCAAAAAATAAAAAGAAAGAATCCCTTGGGGTGTTCATGCGTTTTTACGCACACTTCGCTCGACAGCATTTAGCCTGACAGAAGTCATATTTTTATGAGCCACCACACTCCCCCTCCATTTGTGTTTTAAAATACACGCGTGTCTGCGCACAGGAAATAAAGTCAGACAGAAAAAAGTGCTTCAGCTGACGTGGGATGATAAATGAATCCTGCTGATTTGTTGTGTTTGGATTGGTGAGGCAAACCAAAGTGGGAATGAGTGACAAAGAGCTTGTGCTTGCGCCTAACTAATTGCATTACAAGCCCAATCCATCCCCACGCAGCGGCCCACTCCGCTGTCAAAGCAGACTGTGTGTGTGTGTGTTTTTGTGTGTGTGTGTGTGTCCCACCAAGACAGCAGCAGCGTCCAGGTCAGCTGACGGAGGGAAACCTCAGGCCGCCTTCAGCTGCGGGACGCTGATGATGCCCTGGGGACCTGCTAAAATCATCGTTATCTGAACGTCACGACCTCAAGAGCGCAAACATCTGGCCACAGAAAGGGAATCAAAAAATAAAAACACACACACACACAAGACAGACAGCGCGAACATTCAGCGACACAGACTGATTAAAGCGCAAAATTATGAGATGCTCTGAACACCAAATGAGAAAATAAAACGATGTGAAAAAAAAGGAGCTGTACACTCTGTTAGAGTGCGCTATGTTACAGCCGTATCCCACTCAGTGTCGTTTAATCTCGCCTGCCGGTAGCAGGTCGGTAAAACTGACAGACGGTCTGGGATCGCGTAGTTACACGGTGGAGAGCACAGTTTCATTTTTCCAGATGGCAAAACGAAAGGGATGCTTCACGGCTTGTCCCAGTGAAACATTCGGTCTGTCCATCTCTGAAGGGTTTTCCCGGTCGGCTGCTGAGCATAAGAGTAAATCAAATAGGCTGGAAAAATGCAAGTTCAACATTTCTCTCCATTTTAGACACCTCTTCCGTACACTGAGAATGTTAATTTACTTCAGATTAGATTTAAGCCAAGTTCCTCGTGCAGAATGATACGCACAAACGGTCGGATCCTAACTGAATGTAAAGCAAAAAGTCTTCCACTGAATTCATCTACAGCCTCTGAGTCTCACATCTGCTTCAGTCGGCTGGCTTGCATTGATCGGTGCGCACTAGCTGTTTACTAAGAGAATGTCATGGGTATGGTTTATACTCTGACATAAACACACTCTATGGGGTTGAGACACATCCAAAATGCACTAGAACAACAGTCTCCAGCCGCTTTAAAGTCGTTGCTGCCAGCGTCCGGCTCCCCCTCAGCAGCAGTGCCGGACTCTGTCCATGGTGCTGAAGTCCAACTGCGCTGCAGGATGGAGGAGGAGAAGCGGCTCCTCGCACCGTGTGCCGCTGAGAGCACAGCCTCTGCAGGTATTGCTGGAAACAATCACCACTCCAGGAGATAACACTGATTAGGAGCCTCCCTCTGGATGAAAGTGTGCTAATTAGTTAAAGCACCTGGTGCTGCCAAGTGTGAGTCTGACCTGGCCTCCATGGCACAATAATGTGGACTGTATGCACTGTATAGCATGTAAAGCACTCACTGACATCTTAATCTGGCAAAGTGTGCAATTTTTAGGAACCATATTCTGTGTACAAGTTTAATGTAGATTGAAGCACAGCTGTATTTGTGGAAAACATTTATATGTTATCATTTCTTGATCAGTATTTAATTAAGAAGATATCAGTGTAGTTTTTTTTTTTCTAATTGCGCTGCAAACACAACATATATGCAAGTTTTGATGCTTTCAACTGATAATAATCCACCATTTCCAATACAGGCATGAGTATATACTGTGCTGTACGAGCATTCCACCTGCTTACAAATACCACAAAACTGTGGCAGTGCTGGAATATAAAAAAGTCTGCAGCCTTAATGGATCCACTGTACCTTGTGCTGCTGTGCACAACATCCAGCTTACCAGAGTGTGCAGGATGCAATGCAGGGAAAACTCAACTAAAGTAATTTTCTCAAACTTTTTCTCAGGCCGGGGTTAAGCCATCTGTACAATCATTTGTTTGTTTGTTTTGATGGTAATGATGATTCATTGCGGGTTATTTCTAGCTCAAGATCACTGCAGATGTAAAATTCTGGGAGGAAAAAAAAAAGTCCCATAAAGAGAGTTCATTGAGTCCTGTTATTTATTTATGAATGCTCACTGAATGTGATAATGACTTGTACCGCTGTCGCTTAAGAGATTTTTTTCGTGCTTGTATACAAGGAAGCTTGGGACCTCAGGTTTTACTGCCACTGGGCTATATATAGGATCCAAATGGAGCTGAGGGTTGTGGCACAGTTACACATTTAATCATTTTTCCCTATTAAATTACATAAGCCTAATGCATGATGGCACTCACACACATGCAGACACTCACATTAAGCACCTTTGTGAGGCCTCCCCGTGGAGATATGTTCCTTGTACAGTGGGGGGACCTGTTTGGTGTTCAAAGGAATCTTTAACCCTTTTTCTCCCCGCAGGTTCCTCTACAGGCAGCAGCTTGTCATCATGTTTTGAAGGTTACCGAGCAGGGCGCGTTCAATGAAGAGGCTCCTCAGAACTACTATGATTAAGAGTGAATTGGTGTAGAATTGCTGTGCTTCCATTTTAGATTAATTTGCTGGCGTGTTTGTCTTTCTTTTTTTTTTGGACAGTCAAGTGCAGAGGCAGACAGGAAACATAGTGATAGAGAGGGTTTATGATATGTCGCTCAACTCCTGGCTGGATTCAAACTGTAACTTAAGCTGGAGTTTTTCAAATTTACTGTAACTCTGACTTGGTGATGAGGTCAAAGAGATTTGTTTTATTTCACTCCCAACTGTCTCTCATCCCTAAACCCCAATGTTGTTTGTTTTGGTCCCACGGTATCTGTTTAAAACTCAAAACAGCTTAATGCTTAAGAGGTTCAAGGAAAATGTGCCACGTCTTACCGTAACTTTACATGATCCCAGCAGAAATCATCCTCTGACTTGTGTGGCTTCTAGAAAAACAAACTCAGCCTTTCCCTTGCTTAGTAATCTAAAACAGTACTTATGAAGAACAAACCTCTTTAATAGATGCTTTTTATATAAAGTAAAGCAATGACAAGCAAGCATACGTAGAATTCGTAAAATGTTGGCTAACTGTTAACGCTCTAATATGCATGTGTGTAACTGACTGAAAATGCTATAACCTATCTTAGTACTTCAGGTCTTGCTTTTTTGAGACAAAAGGAAACTGTAAGAAAATAATATCCCCAAAAATATACAGAGTGAAGCTTTTAGATTGCATCAAAGTAGATCAATGTAGAAAAATAGAGTACCTCTGTCTGCCTTAAAAGAGAAAGGTTGCAGTGAAGGTATTCATCAGGCTTGCATGGGGTCTTTCTTCCAGTTAGTCCTCATTTCCTGTCAGAGTCTAAAAACATGCAGCTTTAAAACGATACAAATGTTTGAGCGTCAATGACTTTGTCTGGGTGTAAACTATGTAAGGGATAATGCCCGACGAGGTGTCCATTATCAGAAATTAATGGACGACGCGGAGGCGTGAACCGTCTGACGCGAAGTCCATTATCACTTTTTAATGGACACCCTGCAGCCAATCAGAATCGAGTATTCACCCAGACCATGGTATAAAAACTGATCAGTTCAACAAATCAATCAAACTGACACTTTACCTGATTTTCAGTTTGTAGAACAACCACTTGACTGACAGATGCACGGGACCAAGGGTGAAACAAATCAAACTACTTGTTCTGTACTGTATGTAAAAGAAACAGGAATTCTATTTAGCATAAAAAGTATACTTTAAATCCTTTATCGACCTTGAGAGGATTTCTTGGATTGTATGGAATTAAATGAAAGATTCAAGCAATCAGTCAAGCAAGCAACAACCACACAATCTTTGTTTTACACTCGAGCACACAACTCGCGCCGCCACTGTTGATGCACTGAAAAAAAAAAAAAAAAAGATGATTGCATTTTGTTGGTCTCCTGCATCTCCAGTATTGCCCATTTTGTGCAGCTGACATTTTCCCTTGCCTCAAAAAAAAAAAAAAAAAGAAATGCAGAAAATGGACCATTACTCTGGGACACATTATCAATGCATTCTATTAGAAAATGTTAAGAATGAAATTGTTTTTGTTTAACTCAGCATACATTTTGATAAAAACAAGCCTTTGGTGGGATTCAGTGAGAGCATCAGTACCGCACTCCACTGTTAATGCATTACATAAATCATCTTACACATTACAGAGTTTACATGAATATGTAGAATTGGTGGTTACAACCCTAAACTTTCCTTCAAAAAAACGATTTTATAAAAGTAAAATGTATTAAGTATAGTGAGGATGCTCTAAAAATAATGTTTAGAATAGTTTATCTGTTAGAGTAGTGTCTCAGGGCACATGGATACAGCAAGTATCATACTAAATCAAAG